GCCCCCGTCACAGGATCCGGCCTCACACCTCCATGCACAAGAAGTGTGTCAAATCCCTGAGGGGAAGAAAGCCAAGAACCCGACCCCTCAGTAAAATCAGACACCAAATTCTGTTCAGCTGACATTTTATTTTCCTTAACCTCGGAAATATATACAAAAAACGAAACGAAATACAACAACCTACAAAAACAAATCTATAAAAAAACATGAAAAAGAAAAAACATAAAAAAAATAAAAACAATCCACCAGACCAAATATAATCGAAACTCAGTATTACCAACAACAACCACTTCTTGGCATCACAGAGGGCGCGCAGTTAGGCAAGGCGGCACAGCGCGTGGTGCGGACGCCCAAAAGGAACGGTAAGAAAACCAACAACGACAGAAACAGCAGTGGAGTTACCCGACGGCGGTGAAGTCCACCAATAACCAGACAGCAGAAGAGAAGGAAGGAGGGAGGGAGGGGGGCAGAAAAGGGGATTGCCGTACGTCTGTCAGAGTGGTGCATGATGATGTCTCATTCAGTGGCTCATGAGATATACTTTACCTGAATATCGTGTTATGCATCAGTAACGCCGCAATACGTACATCTGTCAGTTATCTTCTTGTGATGCTTTTGTGTTTGTAGATATTTGCCTTGTAGAGGGAAATATGGCAGAATGTGGAGTTATTTCGATTTTGTTGCTTTCTGTTGTAGTTTGTTAAAATGCATTTTGGAAGACAATTTTCCCACTTTTTCCATGAATTTTGCGGCATCTTGTATGGATTAATGGCGTATATTATATATATATATATATATATATATATATATTGATATACTCCAGTTCCTTTGCTGCTGATGCGTTTTTTTTTTTCATGTTGAGTTGGGTGGTGACTGCTGCATTGACTCCGTTTCTGAGATGTTAAGAAGACTTGTGAAGTTGTTGATGGAGGTGTCGTAGAACTGCGTCGAGGTGTCTCTGGAGCTGTCGACGGGGTCAATATACCGACCCCCCGACTGGTGTGTTGCATGAGAGTGTGGCTGGCCGTGTCGGGGTGCCATGCCGTGGTGTGGGGGGCTCACACTGGCGGTGGTGAAGACGCCTGAAAGGTTCGTCGCGGGCCGGGGTGGCTCTGCGGCTGCTGCTGCAAATGGAAGATGCTGTCTCGTTTTGCCAAGCATCTCGCGCAATTCGTGAAGCACACGGAGTGGTAGACGATTGGCGTTTTGTGTGGCTGTTGGTACGACATGGCGGGAGCCCGATGGGAACGGGATATACATATTTTGACGGTTTTCAGGTCTTGCCTTTGGTAGCTTCTTTACCGCCTCTTGGGAGAGTTGCAGCTCCTGCCGAAGAGTATTTACCCGCTCACGGCCCTGTGCCGTCTCCATGCGTTTGCTGTCTAGCTGTTCACGAAGTAGGTGCATGTACTGCCTTGTCTGACGCAGCTGCATCTCATCCTCCCGTAGCGCCTCTTTGTCTTTAATGAGGTCTTGACGCTCCTGCCGCAACCGTCGCCATTGTTCTTCTATTTGTTCCGTTTTCCGACGCATCTCATCAAGAAGATTTACCATTGTGTCGTGTCGTCCCTTAAGTTCCTCCTCCCGCTGACGCAGTTGACGTACTTCGGCCTCTGTTTTGTTGCAGGCATTGCGGAACCACAACGCCATAGAGGCCTGCTCTGCCTGAGTTTCACGCTCCTCGTCCGCCAGCTGAACTGTGGCCTCCCGTAGCTCTGCAAGCACGCGGCCAAAGCGTTCTTGCACGTTGCATTTCTCATCCTCAACCATTTGTTTCCATCGTCTGTACTCCATCTCCCACTCTTTCTTGTTGTGTGCACACTTCGCCTCCTGTTTTCCCAACCACAGACGTTCCTCCTCAAGGTGTTGCTCCACAGTACGGCGCACAACCTCTAACTTGCCTAGCGTCGCCATAAGCGAGTTATACTCTTCCCCAACGGAGACACTCTGCTTCGTGACAATATCCTGAAGCATTGTGAGTGTCTCTTCTCGGGCCTCTAACGCCCGCCGACGATCGCCATCTAGTGCTACACGGCCATCCTCAACCGCGGCTCGATATTCCTTGATTCGTTTCAGCAGCGCCTCAACGGCGTGCACAATGCGGTTGAATTCTTCCGTGGCGCGTGCAACGTCGGCTTGCATGGCAGCATTAACGCGACTTCGTTGTTCGGCGAGGTGTTCCTCTTTGGTGTGCTGCTCCCGTAGCAGCGCCATGTGCTTCTCGTGAAACCATCGCTGTTTTTCCAACATGTCGTGGTGATTTTCCTCCACGGCCCGCATACGCTCCAAGTGCATTTGATGACGAAGCTCCCGCTGCTCCTCGTGCTCTGCTGCTCGACGATTCATAGCTGCCTCCATCTCACGCTTTAAAATTTCTTGGTGCTGCGACGCCCACAACTCGCGCGACTCCGCGTACATCTCTTCCATAGTTAGCTCTTCACGCTGAAGCCTATCAAGGTCGTCGTGTACCATCGACTGTGTGTCCAACAGCAACTGCTCATCCATTTTGAGCACCTGTTCCCGTTCCGCATCCTCAGCCTTGCGCCAAAAGTCGAGCGACTCCTGAAACAGTTTCTGCAAGTCCTCACGCTCCCGCTGTGCCTCGCTGCCTGTCGTGACAGCAAACGAGGAACGCACTTCATGGCGGACGAGGCGTTGCACCTCGTCCTCCCAAGCTTCCATCGTTGAGGCGTTGGCCGCGAACATGTCCTCCACACGCTGCAACAGTGTAACCAGCGCTTTACCTACACATTTGTGCACGAGATCCTTAGCAGTGTCCCCTGCAGCTAATTCCGCCTGCAGTTTGGCTTCCTGCTGTTGTAGCTCTTCCAACTGGGTACGTAAGTCCGTAAGCTGCGGCTCGTACTGCCCACGAATGGAGGCTGTGACTCGATCACGTTCTTCTTGCAGGTACTGCTGCTGTGCGTCCTGTGCCTCAATAACTTCCCGCTCCGCAGACGCTTTTACATCTTCCATGGCATCATGGTGGTGACGAAGCTTGGCATCAAGCTGCGCAATCTCCGCGAGTCGTTGCGCCTTCAGCGCACGCCATCTGTCTCTCAGAGAAGTTTCCTTCTCCTTTGCCGCCACAAGCAACTTTTTCTTTGCGTCTAACTCACGGCGCAAAGATTCGAGCATCTCCTCCGTTACTCCTATCTCTTGCGTTTGCGATGCTGGTACCTTCACCGCCAACCGCTCCGGCGCAAAAGCGACTTGCTGGGCCGCCTGTTGGCGCGGTGTGGGGCCCAATGCCGCAGCGTCGCGTTGCCGCTGAATGGCTTGTCTACGAGCTGCCAGCATGGCGTCCTCCCCCTCATTCCCGCCCACATTTCTCCGCATAACTGTGCTGGGGGGATTCCGCCACTCGTCATCACTGGAAGTCATTCACACTTCTCCTCGCTGCTCTCCATACAACCACCCTAACGAAAATGGGTATATATATATATGTCTTGCCTCTTCTTTGTATCTTATTCCTCCCTTTTTGCAGTTTCCCTTGCTTGCCCTTCCAGTTGTGCCCGCTTCCTTCCAACCTTGCATAATTATACCCCCAACAGAAGAGTTGCAGAACAGCAGTGAGAAAGCGGGCTGCAATGCCAAAGTAGGGACCAGTTAGACGTCAATTCCTTCACACATGCGTGCAGATTCAAACACTCAAAAGAAAGATGAAAAAGCAACATATGGTTTCCCCTTCAAAGTATTTTACTTCTATGTCTTAATATCATCTGCCTCGTCACGTTGCAGCCAACACGCAATTAGTTTTAGCCACCACCCTCCCACACCAAGTCGCACCCTCAGGGGTTGGCGAGCTCAAATACGCGCCGTTTTTGAGTTAAAGCCTCCTTGACCAACTGAAAAGCACCCAGAATGCCACTCATGCATGTGTTTTCCTTTGCGCCACCTGCAGCGTAATATTCAACGTCTGCTAACTTCATGAGTAGGAAACACTTGCTCTCCTGCGGTAAATCCATTGCCATCACAATATGGTGTACCTCACGTACCAGATCGGTTGACGAAACACCTTTTTCCGAGACAGCTTTTTGCACCTTCTCCCACGACGCGGCAAAATCATGTGAAATCATGTCCTCCACAATACCACGTACCTCGGCTGGGGTGGGGTTACCAGTGACACGGTATACAGACTCCTCTGTAATTTCTCCTGTTGACATGGCAGAGGCTTGCATCGTATTCAGACACCGACGCAGATCCCCATTGCTAAGACAAAACGCCGCTACAAGTCCTTCATTGGTAAAGTGCACACCTTCTTCCTGCGCCACGAACTTTAACCGGGGTAGCATGGCGCTCTTTTTAATCGGTGAAAAACGAAAGCGGGTACAGCGCGACTGTAGCGCCGGAATAATCTTGTTGATGTTATTACACAAAATACAAAAGCGCACATTTCGTGTATACTTTTCAATGATACGTCGCAACGCGGCCTGCGCATCCCCGGACATCTGGTCCGCTTCATCGAGAACAATCAGCTTGAAGGCAGCGCAGTTAGACGCAACGGGGGAAGGGGCAAAGAAGACAGAACTCGTGCTAGCAAATTCACGCACCTGATTTCGGACAACGTCAATACCGCGATCATCTGAGGCGTTCATTTCAAGAACATTTGCTCGGAGACGCTCCTTCCCAAACAAATAATGAGCGCATGCTTTAATGGTTGTCGTCTTTCCCGTACCGGGCGGGCCATAGAAGAGAAGATGCGGTAAATTGCCACTGTCCATAAGCCGCTTTGTTGTAGAAAGAATGTCATCATGCGCCACCACCTCGTCAAGTGTTACAGGACGGTACTTTTCGACCCACGGCAATGCACTAGATTTTGAAGCGTGCCCAGTGGAGGACCTTCCATCGTTTGCCATTCCCACTCAGTCTCAATTTGTTCTTGTTTTCTTTTCCTTTTTTTCTTTTCTGCTGCTGTTTTTTTTTTGTTCTTCTCAATCTCTGCCTTCGGTGTAATGACCTTCTCTCTTTGCGTTAATCCCACACTCTATCACCGTTGCACACAAGCAGAGAACCCTGTGGGGGGAGGGAGGCTGTCCGCGTCAGGTGTCTATTTATCTATTAGCTGTGCGTAGCCTCCAGTTGGTGTAAATGAGACCGAGACTACTCCCCTCTCTGCCGTAGTTCTCTCTTTTGAAACAGCACGGATACGACAAGAAAGAATAGAAACAGAAGATGGAAATGAGGAAGGAAACCCGTGGCGTGCAAACCAGAACATCCGAGAGCAGCAACAAAAGATGAAGCGGGCTTTATTTGCGCTTGCACAGAAAATATTTGATTACCATCAAAATAATAATAATAATAAACATTATTATTATTATTTTTGTCCTTCATCCTCTCACGTTCCCTCCTGTACGAGGAATGAGGGAAGAGCCCGATAAATGCAGGAAGCATTGCGAGCTGTGTGGTTGTGATCGGCGCCGTCCTTTTGTTTTTGATTTTACCCCTCGTCCTATTTTCATCGTTTCCTCGTTTTGCTTGTTGTTTTTTTTTCCGCTGCACACCTTTGCGTTGAATGCAAATTCGCGTCCTCCTCAACCCGCACCTCGCTTTCTGCTAGGCAAACGGCGTGTGTGCATCGCATCTGGCAGTTGAAGTTCAACAGCGAGGGAGACTCTGACGTGAGAGACCTCCGGAGTAGATTTCACTCACGCGGTGGCTCCTCCGAGACGAGCTTCTCAAGCCCTGGTGGTAGGGCACCCAATGAGGTGAGCTCGTGGGTGAGGGAAATCAACTCATTGGTTTTCGTCACATCCTCTCGAGCAACAGGGGCATCACCTACGAGATCGCAGATGGAATTTACGATTTTGAACTGCTTGTTATACCTCTCCAGGTCTTCAGCGCTAGTGTCCCCCTCGTTGACGGCCAACCAACGAGGATAGGCCTTTTGCATTAACTTCATTACCCCCAGCATCCCTGGGTCGAGTAAACATTCCAGCAGGATGTCTGAGAGACCAGCAGTAACTGCACCCTCAACATCCGCTGCGTTGGCAATACCCGTTGTTGCCTCCAGCGACGGCGCTGTGCCAGCTGATACGGAGGCTGCAGTGTTGCCAGTATCATCTCCAGTCGTTTTTCCTATCTCTTCCATGCACTTCTTCAACGCCTCCACCAGGGCCTCATTGCCCATGTCATCTCCACCTGCCGCATCGTCTTCAGTCGTTGACGACATTGTTGTGAGCCTGTCAAACATCTTTCGCACGTGCGCAATATTGGCGCGTTCCTCCTCCGACACATCTGGCAACTCGTCAATTAGGGACGACACTCGCGTTACTTCTCCCTGTAATTGATTCATAAGGCTATCGGGGTCCGTGCCGGCATCACCAGATTCGCCATTCACAAGCGATTGGATAAGGCGCATCATTTCAGTGCCGAAATCCGACTCTGCACGGTGCTTCTCCAACTCCGCTTCACGAGCCGCGTCACGCGCCCTCACTTCATCCTCGTGACGGCGCTCCTGCTCGTCCATTGTGTTTATGCAATCATCCAGAAGGGCATCCAGGTCGTCATCATCGTGGGAATGTGCCATTGAAAAGTTTGCCACTACACGGGAGTTCAATTTTTTCTGTGGTCTATTTACGGGTGATCCCCTATAAATATGTATTTATGTATTTAAAACAAAATTCTTTTTTTAAAAAAATATATATTTGGCACAGGGAATCCCGAAACCCCACTTATTAGCACCAACGAAAGGCACACACACACACACACACACACTGGGGCTCACGCTCTCTCGCCAGCTCACGAGGTAATACAGAGAGAAAAAGGAAGAGCCGCAACAGATAAAAAACATACAAAACAACGACGTCCATACGGCGCACACAGTAAAAAAAAACTAAAAACAATTCCGAGAAAATCAAAAGTAAAAACCAAACAAACACACATCTCACTTCCCTGACAACATGCATCTTTAATCGAAAAGAAAATTGCACACAATCGTAGACGGAGGAAACACACGCGCAGGCAAAACTACAAACAGTTTAATTAAATGAAACACTGCCTCGTTACTACTTCTGTTTCCTCCGTCTTTCTTGCCGCGCAGAGACTTCAACTTTCTGGGTTTTGCCGCCCTCTACCTGTGCTGACCTCTGTTGACCTTCCTTCTTTGCCTTCTTGACTGCCTGTTGAACCTCGCGAGGACTCGCCCTGGCAAGTACCTTTGCCGCTATCTGCTTACGCGCCTCTTCTGCGCGTGCCTTCCGAATCACCTCATCTTCCGCCGCTTCCACCCTATGCTGCTCTAACTCCTGCTCATAAGCTTGACGACTGCGCTTGCGTCGCGAAACACCACCTGCAGCCTCTTCCGCAAATGCACCAAAGAAGCCACCATCATCTTCCGCCAATTCCTCAGCTGTCGATGGCCCTGTCGAATTTGCTCCGGCCATTAATAGAAAAGAAATTAATGCCAGAGGCAACTCTGCCTTCGAAGGTTTACTGTCTCTGTTCTACTACCCTCTGCAGAAAACACTCCCCCCCCCACCCACCCCCAAGCAAAAAATAAAAACACAAAAAAAGAAAGAAAGAGCAACCATTTCTTCTAATGTACACAGTAACCAACGCCATTTGTTCAGAGGCTGCAGCAACACACATATTCACACAAGGAGCAAAAAAAAAGGAACAACAACCGAACAAAACATGTTCATATCATTCAAAAAACTGAAAAAAGGTAAAAAAAACAACAGTGTGTCAGATGAAGAAAAACGCTTACTGCTCAGTCACCTTCGTTGTGAGGTTCTTGAAGGAGGCGACAGGAACGTTGGAGATGACGGTGTAGAAGTGCTTGCGCTTGCCACCCTCGGGGGTCTCAGACTTGCGCTCCACGTGCACGCGAACACGGCCAGGAACACCCTTCACGCCCTTGTGCCAAATGTACGTGTTCAAAGAGGCGTCGATGCGGTTGTCCTTCGTCTTCATCAGCTTGCCAACAAAGGCCTTGATGCGCTTGATGGCGATGGGCGCGCGCTTGTGGAAGGTCTTCTTCTTGAGCAGCTTCGCCAGGTGGATAGTTGCCTCCACAGTGATGTTGTCAGGCTTGCGGCCGGTCTGCTTGCGAAGCGCGGCACGGGTAGAGCCACGCACGCGCGAGCGCTCAGCGGTGTTGCCAACGCCGTGATACTTCTTGCGCTTCTCAGAGTCCATCTTCGCCAGCACGCGCTTCC